TAAGGTATTAGTGGAGGTGTGGGGAGGGAATGGGGAGAAGGCAGAATCGAATGTCCTTCCTTCTATTGAGATAGATGTTACGGAGCCCTTTCCCAGAGAATCTTTAAGGGCCCGGAAAATCTCACGTTTAGGGAATCTGATGAGGAATCACCAATAGACGTACCTGAAGACGCAGTCTAACGCTCTAGAAAGCCCTTACGGCTTGTTCGATCAGATTTAGAGTTCAGACCATGAGAAATCCACTCCTTTTTACTCACAAGGGAATGGCCAAGCTGAGTCCACCAATAGGGATCCGCTCGGGAAGAGGAAGGAATTCGAGTCAAGAGGTTATTATTATTAGGATCCTAGCCTAGCTAAACGCAACGGAAAGGAAAAGAGCTTAACGAAAAGCAAAGATCTCTCGGGCAAGTGCTCTATCAAAGACGGGTTCCCTGGAAGAACAGCAGGATTCGGGGTCCGCTCTCTCATCATAAAGAAGTGAAAATGAAGACTCGGACTCGGCTACCGGCTGCCAATGGGATAGCACCGGAGCAACTGCCATCCTCTTTCCTTCTCTATTCTTTCGTTCCTCTTTTTCCTTTCAAGAGGTGGTTCTAAAAGAAAAGCTTGCTCGACCGGAAGACCCTTTTTTTGCAGCCTATTCTACGAAAAAGAAAGCCGATTCTTATTCCTTTTCTCTTAATACTTAATAAAGGTATTTACCGAGGAAGAGGGAAGCAAGCAAAGCTAGCCCCGGATCGGGGGTGAAAGCGTTTTGGAGCTAAGACCTTTCAGGTTTGTAATTGGATTCCTTCACCGCTTTGAAGCTTTCCAGTTAGCTTATTAGTAGATACTGGATTGAGGGTGATGAGTAAAATCATTTTATGAACACTCATGATATTCCACTTTTATAGTCTTCTATTTCCCTTCGGGCTAGTAGAAGGAAAGCGAAGTAACTAAGGGGTATTAGTGACGAGCTGTGAAAGGAGTTGCTCTCTTTCTCTTCCTTTACACAAGTCCATGCACCTACAGCTCGATCTACTAGCGCTCTCTTCGATCCTTCCAGGTCAAGACCTTCGCTTGTTTTGTTGACCAAAGAGCGACCTTTCGTCCTTTCCATCTCCCACCCATGCATGATGCTTACGTCCTGTACTGAAAATCATACCAATTCAGATTGAGCCAAGAGCGGAAAAGCATAGAATGTGGGGTTGAGAAACTCGTTTTCGAGAGGTTTCAAGATACTCGACTGATAAGGAGAGGGGCGTAGTTGCTCGAACAAAGTGAGAGGGGAGCTCCGTTTTTATCCGCTTTATTCTTTTCAATCTCGTTACGTTACTTGCCATGTCCTATATACGTAATACCCTTTTAGAGCATGGTAGCTTATGGAGCCACTTCCTCCATAAGAGCGGAGCTACCACCTTGGTTTTTATAGTATGGGGTGGGCTCTCGTACGTAATCGGCAAATACCATCCCGGGGGATGGATGGACAAGGGGATGACCTCCCTCTTGTTCCAAATGGACATCCTAACCACGCTTGACGAACTTTTTACGTGGAAGGGAAAAAAAAAGACAACAGAACAACGGGTTGTTGCGTAACCGAGAAAGACAGGTGCGCTAACAAAAAAAAGCAAGGATCCTCCGTGAATCGTGGTTGGACTACGGAAGCTATGTGAAGGAAAAGAAGAAAGAGAAACTTGCTTTTGCCGATTGCACTCGGATAGCGAATGGGAATAAAATGAATTAGATGGACTGGACTTCGATGGGCTTTGTTTGGAAAGCCAGGAAAGGGTGGCATTTCCGTGCCCAAACCTTAGTGACTTGCCGAAGTCTCGAGCTCTTCTCTTTCTTCTTCAACTAGGAACTATTCAATTTTGTCTTTCCCATCCCGGGGATGCCTATTTTGTTTATGCCCTTGACTCCTAGTCTTATTAGTTTGTCAGGAACCTTTCGTTCCTAACTGTAAGAGCTTATTCGAACCTTGTCTTAAGACTTGACTAGTTCCCAACTCTCCTAGCGTCTAGTCTTTCCTCTGTAACATCAGCTGCAGGAAAATCCGCTGCAATAGAGTCATCCCTCGAGCTTTGGCCCGGTTGTGAGTCCCCCGATTTACTATCGTACCTTCTCACCTCTACTTCAAGGTAGCTACTAAAGCTTTCCTTATCTTAGGGTCGCCTCATCGATATCGAGTCCAGCTCGTCAGCTCTTTTTCTTCTCTTACGATATTTCTGAATTGCCATTGCATGCCACGCTTGGACTTGTCTGTAGACTCATCAATTCAAGATTCTACTAAAAGAAAAGGCCTTTAATCGCGAATCGCGAGTTGCTAAAAGTCCTAAGGATGGACAGGCCCCGGTTCCCAGGGTTAGGGTATTCCCTATTATGAGCCTACTCAGATCATCAGATCAGAAAACTAGTTGATTCTCTTTCGCCTATCGGCCGGCCGGCTTGTTGCAACCTTCGCAGCTGAGATCCCAAGTCTCCAAGTGGGCCCTCTTGGCCACCCACGACCTTGGCTTTTTAG